TGCTATGTGTTCAATATTAGACTACTGATGATGTAACCTTACGAAAACCTTATAAATGTAGAGCGAATTCTCTCATAGTGAATTCTCTTACAGTGTTTTCTTGGTGCTTAGAAAACAAAGACTTATCAAGGGAAAGTGTCCGCCTCAAACGTGTGTCTTCCCTTCAAGATTTGAAGCTGCACAGGGCAGGAGGCCACAGAGTTGAGCTGGGAACTTATGACGAAAGATGAACCCCCTTAAGTCTTTCAAAACTTAAGAAGAGATAGCTATCCACCAACTGTCAAACAAAATCCCAGAGAAGTCATTCCAGAGCAACAGGGACAAATCAAAAGTAGATGAATATTTCAAAAGCTGCAACTCAACCCTGACCCGGCTCAATCCCTAAACAGATTGGAATTAGCTGGCTTTCACTCTGTCTGCATAACAGAAGGAAAAGACCTTTTTTAATGAAAGAAAAAAATAAAAGGTAGATGATGATATTGGGAAGATCAACATGGAGCTTCACATGGGGTCCTAGGGAAAACGGGTGCAGAATGTAGACATTGTCTTTCTCAAATGAGGAGAAGCCTAATGAAGCCCTTGCTATGTGTTCAATATTAGACTACATTAATTCCAGGGTATTCACAACTCAACTGACATATTCTCTTCACTTCTTTCCTGAATTATTTAGTTTCTCCTGCTCTGCCCTGCCCTTGGCTCTTCCACAGGACCTGACTGTAACCAGTGTTCCTGGAAGTCTGTGTTTGAACTGCAGAAACTAATTACACCACAGTGTTCCCACTCCAGCTGCAGGTTGTTGGGAGGCTGAGAAAATGTGAAATTCTACACCAAGGACTATGTTTCCATGGGCTCTGCCAGCCTCTCATCAAACCTTTTTTTTTTTGAGATGTAGTTTCACTCTTGTTGCCCAGGCTGGAGTGCGTGTAACCAAAATAGCATTGCACTGGTACAGAAACAGGCACACAGACCAATGGAACAGAGCAGAGAGCCCAGAAATAAGAATGCACACCTATGCCCTTCAGCAAAGCTGACAAAACAAAGGAGAAATGACTCCCTATTCAATAAAAGGTGATAGAAGAAATGGCTAGCCATATGCAGAAGATTGAAACTGGACCCCTTCCTTACACCATATACAAAAATCAACTGAAAATGGATTAAAGACTTAAACGTAAAACCAAAAACTAAAAAACTCTGGAAGACCTAGGCAATACTATCCTGGACATAGGAATGGGCAAAGATTTCATGACAAAGATGCCAAAAACAATTACAACAAAAGGAAAAGTTGACAAATGGGATCTAATTAAACTTAGGAGCTTCTGCACAGCAAAGGAAACTATCAACAGAGTAAACAGACAACTTAGAGAATGGGAGAAAATATTTACAAACGAGGCATCTCACAAAGGTCTAATAACCAGCATCTATAAGGAACTTAAACAAATCTACAAGAGAAAAACAATCCCATCAAAAAGTAGGCAAAGGACATGAACAGACACTTTTCAAAAGAACACATACATGTGGCCAGTAAGCATATGAAAAAAAACTTCAACATCACTGGTCATCAGAGAAATGCAAATCAAAACCAGAATGAGATACCATCTCACACCAGTCAGAATGACTATTATTGAAACGTCAAAAAATAACAGATGCTGGCAAGGTTGCAGAGAAAAGGAAACACTTAGACACTGTTAATGGGAGTGTACATTAGTTCAACCAATGTGGAAAACAGTGTGGCTATTCCTCAAAGAGCTAAAAGCAGAACCACCATTCAACCCAGCAATCCCATTACTGGGTATATACCCAGAGGAATAGAAATCACTCTACCATAAAGATACATGTGGCCAGGTGCGGCAGCTCTCAGCTGTAATCCCAGCACTTTGAGACCAGCCTGGGCAACATGGCCAATACCCGTCTCTACAAAATATACAAAAATTAGGCAGATGTGGTGGTGCATGCCTATGGTCCCAGTTACCAGCAAAGCTGAGATGGGAGGATCACCTGAGCCTGGGGAGGTCGAGGCTGCAGTGAGCCATGATTGTGCCACTGCACTCCAGCCTGGGCAACAGAGTGACACCCTGTCTCAAAAAAAAAAAAAAAAAAAAAAAAAAAGGATACAGCACATGTGCAGATGAATATTCCTTGCAGCACTATTCACAATAGCAAAGACATGGAATCAACCTAAATGCCCATCAATGACAAATTGGATAAAGAAAATGTGGTATATACACACCATGGCATATTACGCAGCCATAAAAAAAACAACAAGATCATGTATTTTGTGGGAGCATGGATGGAGCTGGAGGCTATTATCCTTAGCTAACTAATGCAGGAACAGATAAAGAAATACCATATGTTCTCACTTATAAGTGGGAGCTAAGTGATGAGAACTCATAAACACAAAGAAGGAAAAAACAGAAACTGAGGTTTTCTTGAGGGTGGAGGGTGGGAGAAGTGGGAGGAGGGGAAAATGATAACTATTGGGTATTGGGCTTAATACCTGGGTGATGAAATAATCTGTACAACAAACCCTTGTGACACAAGTTTACCTTTTTTAACCTTTTTTAAAGGTTAAAAAAAAAAAGAATTGCTAATGTATACACCAGTAAGAAATAAATTAACTAACTAGAGTACAGTATTTATATATAGTTCCTTTTGTCTCTACCCTTTTCATATAAATTCAAAATCCTATTTTCCAAAATTAAAATTACCAAGGTTAGTACTTTTCTTTCCTGACCTCTTCATTGCAGTTATATTGTTGTTAAGTAGAGTTCATTTGTTACTGCTCGTATTCCATTTTCAGTTGCCCCCACCACCACATTTTCATTGAGAGGATGAATTTTTGCATTGTATTAGATAAGAGCACTGTTTGCAATTGTTGTTAGGATACTCAAGTATGAGAAGAATAATTAATATGTATGTGTGTACGTTGCATACCCCCAGAGTGATCCTTACAGCTGTAAACATTGCCCAACTCGGTACTCATTCTAACCCCCTCCAGTATGCTTTCCTGTGATATAGGCTAGCAAGCTAAACCTAAAATTCCCAAATTCCCTGAAGTAAAGGTTTCATCTGTGACTTAGGTTCTGCTAAGCAAATGTGCCTATAGGAAACTTAGGTGAATTATAGAATAAAAGTAATGAATGTATAGGGGAGACCAGGTCTTCTGGGAAAGCAGAGGTAGAGATTCTAGTATCTAGTCTCCAACATCACGGATGCTGAGCTGCAGGCAGTGATAGCAGTGGGATTACTGCTAGAATAGTTCCAATGGTCTCCATGAATCTGGCATTTCTGCACATCTTGGACTATCTTTTCAAGGATATTCAAATAGCAAATAGCCTGGAGAACTGCAGATAAATCTCTATCTCTGGGCAAGGAAGAAGAGGGGAAAAATGAGCTGGTCATCAGCAGCCTTATATATAACATCATAGTTTCCTAATCTTGGGGTTTCTCTCTTGAAATGCACCCACTGAATGTGCAGGCACAGCTTGGTCCTCATTGCATCTCCCTTGTAGCTTGTGGAACTGGGAAAAAATTTTGATCTGGTTTTTGCTATTAATAATAAATTCCCTTGTCTCTGACCCACAGGTCTTGTTTTGTGTAGTGTGCATACACACACGGCAAAAGGCTAGGTTGTTAGGTTGCAAGTAGGGTAAAATCTGAGACCTCTAACAGTATGTCTTAAAAAGTGAGTCATCCATATCTCCTGGACATGTTATTTCTAGATGTATAGTATCCCATCCTGGTTTCCTGATCCTCCCAGAAACTCTAATACCATCTAATGTCTTTTTTCTTAAATTAACTTTAGTGGATTCCATTATCTGCAACTAACAGCTATCATAAATAGAGGCAAGAATCTTGACCACCCATTGATCTATGCTTTGGATTAGAGGATAAAGACAGAAGACTCAATCAATGTATAGCTAAGAGAGAAGTTCAAGGAAGCTTATAAATAAGAAAAAAACACAGATAAATTAGGAACTGGAAGGCAAGTTGCCCTTGAATAAAGTGCATGCAGAAGATGGGACAGAAAAACAACTCACAGATTCATCAGAAATATTTATTTATTTATTTATTTATTTATTTATTTATTTATTTATTTATTTTGAGACAGGGTCTTGCTTTGTCACCCAGGCTGGAGTGCAGTGACACCATCGTGGCTCAATGCAGCTTCAATCTCCAGGGCTCAGGTGATCCTCCCACCTCAGCCTCCCAAGTAACTGAGACTACAGGCATGAGCCATCATGCCCAGCTAATTTTTTTGTAGAGGCAAAAGGGTTTCATATATGACCTAGGTTCTGTTAAGCAAATGGCCATGTGCTTTCACATGCTTTAATGGCAGGTGCCTGATCCTATGGACATGTTAATTTCAGACTCCAGATTAAAGACTTGGAGGCTACACTTCCAAAAGAAAAAGTAACATAATGATACGTATGACACCCACTCTGTGTAGTGCTAGCTCATAGAATTGGAGGGCTAGAAATTGATCCAGTGGCTATAGCAACTTGTGAGGGACAGTCATGCCTAGGAAAATGTTCCCTGGGTGGATTAAAGGTTTAATGTGTGAGAACTGGTGTTTCTAGAGGAGACCAAGCAGAAGTGTGAAGGTAATACTATAAGAAAATAATTTTTAAAGTACCTTTTTTATACCTTTTCCTCAAACACTTCTTAAGGAAAGAATAGATGGGGTTGTTTTTTCAGGGAAAACAAGGATTTTACCAAGGAGAGAATATAATTGGAAGACTCAACTTCCCCCTCCCCATCTCAGCTCCCCTTGAGGGTGGCGGAAACTGTTCTAGAAGAGGCTCTGCCTCCAACCAATAGTGAAGGGAGCAGTTGCTCATAACAAAGAAGGAAGCACATAATCCACACAGGATAGCATCATTGTAGACTAGACACAAACTCCCTCTTTCCAAAAATAGCAGTGGGGAAAATGACCCTGAAAGGGAGAAGCCGACAACTGAGTTGCAGAGTTCAATTCAAGAAAAGAATCTCAGAGAACTCGGTGGGTTCTTGTGTTTACAGTTTATTTAATGGAAAAGAGATTGACCGATTGTGGTTTTGATGCCTGCTTTGCTCCAGGATGAGGAAGCATGTCACTTAGAAGAAAAGACAAGGGTTTTCCCTGGTTTCTGACACCAGCAGGGCTTAGGCTCCTTGATCCAGAGCAGAGTTTTCTGGGATTTCTTTTTTTAGAGAAAGAGGACTTGTTTGAGGGGTTACTGAGTTGACAGAGGAATGGTTTCCATAGACAGGAACAAAGTGGTTGTCAAAAGCTTGAGGAGTATGTTCTGGGAGCTGGATGACAGGGCTGGAGGACAGCATCATCCTGTTTCCAGCTTCCCTCTAAAGACCCAAGTTATCCATCCTGGGGGTGAGTACCCACCTCAGAAGTCAAATACTCCCCTCTTAAAGGCACAGTCTGCCCTTCAGGGGTGACTGATATCTTTCTGGAGGGGACAGTCACCTTTTCAGGGGCTACAGCCTTCCTTCTAGGGGCCATTGTATTCTGTCTAAGGGTCTCGGTCTGAAAATGGACAGGGGTCATAGTCATTCCTCCAGGGCTCACAGACTGATGACTCACAGGGGTCACAGATGGATGACCCACAGGGGTCAGGGTCTTTTCCCCAGGGGTCACAGAGTGATAACCCACAGAGATCAGGGTCTTCTGTCCAGTGGTCACAGATTGATGACCCACAGGGGTCAGGGTCTTCTTCCCAGGGAGCTCAGACTGGTGACCCACAGGGGTCAGGGCCTTCTCTCCAGGGGTCATGGACTGATGACCCACAGAAGTCATGGTCGTTGGCCCAGTGATCTCAGTCTTCTCTCCTAGAGCTACAGTGTGCTTTCCATGGGATACAGTTTCCTTTGTAGGGGTCACAATTGTAACTCTAGGAGTTATAGTCATATTTTCACATTTTCCATGGATCTCAGTGACCCCAGCCTCTCCTCCTGGGGGCAAAATCTTAATATCAGTGGTCCATGCCTTGGTCACAGCCGGCCTTTCAGGGTCAGTGCTTGAAGAATTCATAGCAGATGACAGCCAAAATTGTGGTAAAGAAGTTGAACTGAACTCTAAAGAAAATCAACAGAAAAGAATGAGATTCCTACCACTTCATTCTCATCCTATTAATTACTGGCAGAACTAGAACCACTCCACCACTGAAGTACCTGCTCCAAAAATTCAGAAGTAGAAGATTTAATACTATACCTACTAGAGGACATAGATGAAATCCCACCACATAGAAGCCTTGCTCCAGACCCCATCATGTTCACAGGTCCCAGACACCCACAGGTACTCAGTGGATTTGCTACATTTTCCATGCTACATTCCCCAGAAAGGAGCCCACCCATTCCTTGTGCTCAAGCCCTCACTGTGACATCTCTGATTGCACCATCAGCAAAACCTTGCCCTCGAGGCCTAATGCTAAAGAATTACTTGATGAATCCTCAAGGAGAAGCTTCTTATGTCTCTATGTTGTAGGAGGCACCAGGAACAAAGCCAGGGGCAAGGAGGCTGGAGACAGCATGCTGTGAACAATGGGACTGGGGCCCACCTAAAGACTTGACCTGACTGAGCTCCAGTCATATTACCCATAAAATGAAGATTATAAACCATCTGTAAGGATGCTTCACCCCTTGCATGCTAGTTTCCATTTCCTAATTGCCAGGGTAGCCTCTACTATCAAAAAGAGATATCAAAAGAAACCTAATTCCCTCAGCCCTTGCCCATGAGAGTAAGAGAAAGAAAGAAAGAAATAACATATATTGAGTGCTAACTATGAGAATTTTCATTCCATAGCTCACTTAGCTCTTATAATAATGTCATGAGTATACAGATTATTCCCATTTTAGATAGAACAAAGGAAACTCAAAGAGGTCAAATAAGGGCCAAGTATCCCAGCAAAGACTGGAAAACATATTGGCCTGGCAAAGCTTTTTCTCTCCCCTCAATGTCATGTTGCCTCACCAAGGCATTTAGATCTAGCAGAAGGGGCTCACCCAGTGCCTGGTTATGCAACTTCCAACCCCAGCTTCTAGGTCACAGCTACTTACCAGCCCGAACCAGGATATCATTCAATACGTAGACAAGGGGGAAAGGGCCAGTGCCACAGAAAGTGCCCCTGACGTCATCCATGTCCAATGTCCACACCATGGCCCCCCCAAAATGCTCTCGCCTTATAAACCACGCCTGTAAAAGTAACAGTCAGTCAACCCGCTGTACTTGGCACTCTCCAGACTGGGTACAATGGCAAAAAAACTGAAGATAGTCCCTCAGGAAGCAATGTAGCAGGGTGGTTAGGAGTGTAGCCTGCATTTGAATCTAGCTTTACTGCTTATTAACTATGGGATCTTGAAAAAGTTATGTAACCCTTATGTGTCTTAACTGCCTCATTTGTTTAAAAAAAAAAAAAAAAGGATAATAACATGTTCAACATTTTTAGACCCAAAAGATTCTTACACACACATACTACATACAATATGGATGAAGCGCGAAGACACTATGCTAAGTGGAATAAGCCAGACACAAAATAAGAAACAGTGTATGACTCCACTTATGTGTGGCACCTAGAGTAGTCAAATTCACAGAAACAGAAAATAGAATGGTGGCTGCCAGGGGATGGGGGAAGGAGGAAGGGGAAGTTACTGTTTAATGGGCACAGGGTTTCCATTTGAGAAGATGAAAAAGTTCTGGAGATGGATAGTGGTGATAATTATAAAACAATATGAAAGTATTTAATGCCACTGAATTTCAGACTTTAAAATGGTTAAAATGGTGAATCTTGGCCGGGCGCGGTGGCTCAAGCCTGTAATCCCAGCACTTTGGGAGGCCGAGACGGGCGGATCACGAGGTCAGAAGATCGAGACCATCCTGGCTAACACGGTGAAACCCCGTCTGTACTTAAAAAAAAAAAATACAAAAAAACCCACAAAAAAACAAAAAAATAAAACTAGCCAGGCGACGTGGCAGGCGCCTGTAGTCCCAGCTACTCGGGAGGCTGAGGCAGGAGAATGGCGTAAACCTGGGAGGCGGAGCTTGCAGCAGTAAGTTGAGATCCAGCCACTGCACTGCAGCCTGGGCGACAGAGCGAGACTCTGTCTCAAAAAAAAAAAAAAAGGTGAATCTTATGTTTTTATGTTACATAGGAATGCTACATAAGCCTTCCTAAAGAGTTCCTATGCATAAGATATTTGGATCAATACCTGGCATATAGTGAATCTTCAATAAAGGTTAGCTACTAACCCTCTGGGTTCCCCACCTCACTAATCACCATTATTATCATATTAAACTGTAGATATTGCTCTACTGTTTAAAATTCATTTCCTTATCTCACAGTGATGCTATAAAATGCAGTAGAGCACAAAATATTCTTCTCACAGATGAGAAAATAAAGGCTTTCATCCACACTTTTTAAAACCTCCACTACAACTAAATGGCAGAGCTTAGATTCAAGTCCAGGTTTTATTATTACTTTGCCAGCGCTCTGTCAAGTCTGATGGAAAAGACAGACTCCATCAGGTCCAAAGAGCTGCGTGCCTTAGCCAAGCCAATTGGCTGCTTTTAGGGGTTGACCTTCCCCAAATGTAAAATAAGAGGAAGGAGGAAACCAATCATTAAGTCTGATACCGCGAAGTTTCTGAGACTTTTATCCTATTTACAAGCTAACAAATTAGTCTGTCAGTTTTGTGTGTACACACACATACACACACACACGCACACACACACACACATACTCACATACCCCAATGCCCCAAACCTCTGGATCAGAGGACAGAACATTCATTATTCACAGAAAAAAAAAAAAAATAGCCAGAATAGCACCTTGAGTCAGTTTCCAAGTCCCAATTACCCAAAGGACAATGTGATGAAGGTCAGATGTTCAATTCACCCGCATGTACAGTGGGGTCTGCGCTACAGAGAAGAACCCTGAAATTATGAGACTCAGAGCTTATATAGAATGGTTGACCTACGTGGCCCTCCTCCCTCCAGAGAGAGGAGAGAACTTGGAACATAAACAAGTCCTCCCTGGGAAGGGGACTTTCGCAATCATTGAAGGTAAGCAAATGGCTCTGGGGGAAAGAGGAAAGCAGCTCTCTATTTTTAGTATAGCTTGTCAGCTTCCTTTGCCCAAAATCTTCAAACTGTGCAGGAACTCTGAGAAATCCAGGGTATAATTATCTCCCAACAATAATCCCCAAGGTACCTTTTAGCTCTGATATTCTATGTCAAAATCCCTTAACCATCCCCACCCTGGCTTCATGTCCCCTCACCTAGTTCTGCAAGTTACAGTAACTGCACCTCAAAGCAAGACCACCCTCCGCTGCTCATCCCAGGGCCTCCCCCAACACCACGGGGTCAATCCCCTTTCTGACATCCTACGGGTCTTAGACTTAATTCCATCCCATTGGGTAAATGCATTGAATCATTAGTCTTTCCTATTTGTGTCTTCCCATTCCCAAACCACAGAGCAAGATCCCAGATGGGAGAAGCCACGCTCTTTTATCTGTCTCCTCCCCAGCAGGCCTCACCCAGTGTTAATGCACAGAAGAGCTACACAGTGAATCTTCATGAGTGCCTTCCTCTCTGGTGCTTCCCACACAAACGTGCCCCCCAAAACAGCCGACACCTGGCATTTCTGCATCACTGGTAACACGAGAACTGTGAATTCTCTCTATTTAAGTCTCAATACCAAGCAGTTGCCACATTATGACAATTTCTCACCTTTCAACTGCTGTTCCTTCCAACTACCCTAGTCCAGACCCTCATTATCTCACGCTTGTACACCTCTGTGTCCCCCCGAGAGCTCCCAAAATGTCAACTTAGCATTTAGAAGGATCACATGTGGAAGCATTCTAAAACAGTTTCCAAAATTTTTCTAAGACCTACTGAATATTCAGGAGTGGAACCATGATTTATACGTGTATCCAGTCTCTCAGGTGATTCCAAAACAGAGGCAGGTTTAGGAACTGCTGGAGCATGTCAGTTCTCTTTTAGTTCACTATAAAAACCTGCCAGATTCAACTTCATAAAATACCACTTACATGAAGGGAGAGTGGTGGTCACAGTTTGGTTCTAAAAGTTTGAAAAGTAAAGGTCATCCACCTGTAGAAACCTGATTTTGCCTTAAAATGTCCACAGGATGAAGACCGAACACCTTTACCAGCATTCAAGTCCCTTTATAAAAAGCCTCTGCTTCACTCAAATTCTTCTTTGAATCTGCTATAAGCTTTCTACATCACTGAACCTTTCCCCCATGTCATCATCTTCTCCTACTCCTGCTCACCTCTCTCAGGAAGCCCTCCCAGACTTCCTCATTTCTGCTATGTGTCAGTAATATTTACAGAGCACTTACCATGATCTACTTTGTGTTGGTTATTTATCTGCTATGAAATTAGTTGGTCCAAATGGAAAGGAAGAGGCCAAAAAGATCATCAAAAAGCTGTAAGAACTGAGAGAACTATTTATTCCCTCAGAACCTAGATTCCTTCTCTTCAGAATAGAGAATTGGAACAGATGGAATTATGAAACCCCGGTTAGAACTAAAATGTAGGCATGCCTGAAACTCCCCTGGTCTAATCATCCTCACCTTTCACCCTCCACCCGATACGCATGCATGCGTTGCACAGAAAAGGGCCCCATGGAAGCCAGTAAGAAACCATGTGCTGGAGCACAAAGAACCAGGCTCTCACCTTGTAACTGAAGCTGATGGCATCGTCATAGCCAACCCACTCTTTCCCCTTGTTGGCATATGGGACATACTGATAATCAATCCAGTGCTTCTTCGCTCCCCAGACAAAGGAACAAATCTGCCAAGAGGACCACCAGGTTAGTTCTGGAAACTGCCACGGAGATAAGCACCAGGAGACAGTTGTTCCTTGCTCAAGGATGAAGAACCCAAGAATCCCTCACCAGCGAATGAGAAGAAGGTAAACCAAAGAGAATGGAGAGGCCACTCAAAAATGAGTTCCTCTCTATTTTGAATAAATTCCTACTGTTACCTGTTCCTTCCTCTACTGGCCATGATGGGAAACAGGGAACCAAAGAGTGGATTACATCCTTAAGAAACCAAGCCAGGGATATAATGCCAGTACCAAAATCATAAGAGTAACATACCTGATCCTTGACCAAATCTGTGTCTCATTCAAAGTGTTTTCACAAACAAGTCTCTCCTGTTCATTAGATCCCAGCACAAACTGCCCCATAGACGTAGTTCTCAAACTAGCACCTGAACTTCTAGTAGATTTGAAGTTCTTGAAGGCAGGGAGAGCTAGGTTGCTACAATCAATTAAGCATTTGAGTGTCTACCGGATGCCCAGCATTGTGCTAGAAACTATATGCTGCAAACAAGTAGAAGTATGCAAGTTGTGCTGCAGAAGTTAATGTCTAAGTCATTCCTTTGTGCTTTTGGTGCTTTAAAGTGTCTATCAAAGCTTCTTTGCCCTTCAAGAACATTGTTTCAACTCTGCCAACACTCCTAAAAACGCTTCATTGGATTAGCAGGAAAACACCCTCATCCATCCAGCGCAGAGATTGCAGAGATTGCAGCACCTCCGCTACTGCCTAAAGTACTCAACCTGTCCCTCTGTACCTGCTGTCCTCTACCTGGGAAGTCCCTCCCATCTAGTCATTCCTGTCCCTCAGGATTTTCCTGTGTTTCAAACTCCGCTCAAACTCTACCTGCTCCATAAGACCTTTCCGGGTCACTACAGCCACACACTTACTTATGTGGCTAGTATTGTCACCTCTGCTGGTTACATTCCCTTGGAAACATGTCTCTTTCCACCACTCAATAGCAAGCTTGGTTGAGATGAAGATGAAGAGGGTAGAGCTGGAGTGGAGAGAAAGAACCTGTAGTAGAGAATGCCTTGGAATTGCTTCAAAATAATCTAGTAGTAGGGAGGGAGGGAGTCAGCAGAGATGTGACAAAATTGGCCATGAATTATTAATGATCGAAGCTGAGTGAGTAGTATGTGGGGGAGGTACAGAGGCTATACTATTCTTTTAATTCTGCATATGTTTGAAACTATATATATTGCAAATATTAATGATTTTTATTTAGGCCATACAGAAAGTCAGGGTTTACCTGTATAGCATTTAAGATCCTTTTTTGGGGTACAATGAAACCCTTCCATCCAGATTCCACCAAGTCCTACGTCCCTTACAAAGGGCTCAAATAATTTAACCCAAAGAAAAAGAAAATACCCCAGAGAGTGATTTCCCTTGTCCTAATAGCCCACCTCTTTGCCCTGTCCACAGCTCTCACCCTTGCCATTGCCCCTTGTCCTGGCCTTTGCTCCAGCTGGGGGTGGGAGAGTCCTAACTGCTAGACAGAGACTGCTATTCTATTCCCATCACCTCAAAATAAGCCAAGAAGCCTGCTTGCTTGGTGTACTTCCCTGGAGATGCTGGTCCGATCGCTGTGGCCTGCAACCCATTCTTAGAGGCTTTGAGGAGGCGAAACGTGCGTCCATAGGTGGGGATCCCCATGATGAGCTTCTCTGAGGGTGCCCCAAGCTTTCTCCAGTAATTCATAGCATATGCCTGCAGGTAAGAAGAATCCACACTCCTCCTTGTTACTAAGAGCCAATGGCCTGAGCTCAGGGGGACAGATGTCTGGGCCACCTGAGATCTTTCCTTTCCTTACCGAAGATTTGGGGTCTTCAGGCAGAGAGAACAGGGGGCTATTATGTCCTGTGAACTTTTCCCAACTTCCATGTAAGTCATAAGACAAGACATTGATGAAATCCAGGAGTCTGTAAGGGGCAGGAGGAAGAGATATAAAGACTGGGCTAGCCAGATTTTCAAGTCAGATCATCACAGCACTGTCTAACTAGTTAGCTAGACATTGGTCACCAGAGCTTCCCTGCTCCTTCTGCCTGTGGGGCCTGCCCATGCTGTGCTATCCACCTGCCACTGGAACAAACAGCTGGTTAGGAACAGCTGTGTGTGAGGATCTATGCATCCTGAGAGTATCTGTGGAGGTAGGCAGGAGTCAGATGAGAGAAAATACACTCAGGCCTGATACAAATGCTAACAGGCATCTGCACAAATGGTCATGAGTAAAAGCAGTCTGTTCTTGTCTTTCTATAATTCCAGGAGCCATTGAAACCTACCTCCTTTATAAAGCTTTCATCATTACCAGGTTACAGGGATAAGGGTTTACACTGATTATCTAATTTAATTTTAATCTGGCTAATTCCCTAAGTACTGTAAGCATCTCCATTTTAAAGGTGAAGAAACTGAAACTCAGATGGGTTAACTAGTTTGCCTAAAGTTGCCCAGCTGGGCGAGGGCAGGACTCTCTCAATCCTGTCTGGCTAAAAGATCAACACTAACACACACCATGTCCCCTGCGTCTCTCCCTCTCCTCCCACGTTGAAACCACTCTGTAGCGCACTCACACACAGGAACATCCCATTTCTCTTTTGGTCTGCATCTGCCTCCGTTTCCTCTTCTGTAAATACTTGATTCTCAAAGTTCTAGAAAATATACCTAGAGCTCACATGTCCAAAAAGATTTATGTGCTACTCTTTGTCTAGCTTTTTAACTTTTGCATGAAGAACTGCTCTGAATTATGGGTGTGACTGGGCATTCCTACTTTTGTTTTTGTGACAGTGATTATTAATTCATCCATCTCTGGTGCCAGCATCTGCTGCATAGTGTATGTCTACAGATATACTCTAGGTAGAAAGAGGCCAGGTCCCTGGGATTCTCTCCTAGGCTGTGCAGAAGACTCTACCTGTGCTAACATTGTTGTGGGCAGATATTACATCACCTCCCTCTGAGGTCTAAAGAAACCCTCAGGGTATAATGGAGCTAGCCCTTGTCCCCACCCATGCCCCTCAGCCCAGCCCCAAACTTGCGTGACGTCAGGGCAGGCACATGGTGAGCTCAAAAACAGTGCTTGGGAAGCTCTGGTGTTCTGAGCTCAAGACACCTGCTTCCCTCCAATGTCCTGCCCCACCAAGGCAATATACACTCACCTTCCTAGAAAGCGCACATCATAGGATGTTTGGACGATGTGTGGGACCCCAGAAACAGCAGCAGACAGCAGCAGCCTTGGGCGCATGGTGAGCAGTGCCTCCTTCCGGAAGGCAAACAGGAGCTCCTAGGAGGAAAGACAGAAAGACACAGAGAACTAGACAAACAAGAGGTGGGGCCTGGGGAGAGTGTCATCTAAGAAGCATTTACTGAGCTCCTGAGCCAGGCTCTGGGATACGAAGGTGAGTTGGACATGGGCCATGCCACAGGCTCATGAGACAGGCAGATGAGGGCTGATGTGGTGAATGATTTAATCGTGCGGTGGCGAGCAGGCTCAGGAGCACAGAACTCAGAAAGACACTGCCTGAGGGAGTGCAGGAAGCTGCACACAGAAGGCATCCCTTAGGCTGGAGGACTGGAGCAAGCCCCAGGTGCAGAGAAAAGAGCAACCTCGGGGAGTTACAGGTGTTACCCTCCAGAGGTTCACAGTAAAAGAACATTCTGTCACCCTCTTCTGCCCCTGGCCCTGGACTTATGCTTCTCTCCTGCCATAAGCCCAGATATATAAAAGTAGAATCATTTCTGGATTCTGGCGCTTCCAGACCAGACTTACTTCAATTAAGAAGAGAAAAGTCCACCGGTCATGCATGGGGCTGCCTCTTAGTCCAGGATATAAGAAGAAAAGATCAAGACCATCAAAGTCATGTGTCCTCAGAAGGGATATAACTGAAGCAATAAACTTTTCACGGTTGGCAAATGTGGACAACATAGTGGTGAACCTGCAGGGAGACCAGGGGTAAGACAACACTATCCACAGAATGACAACCTCCTACAAGGCCCCTTGCAAGCTGACAGATGTGGCTGGAGGAAAGGAAGGCAGATCTCCAAAACTCTCCCACCTTCTTACATGCCTCTCCCAGTACCAGGAGCTCAATACCCAAGAGTGGGGAATTCAGGCAGCTAAAAGAAGTTGAAAACCATGTACTGCCCTGAGGCCAAATGGCACAGGGAACAGCAGGCACAGAACTAAGCAGGTAGCCTGGGGTGCAGAGAAATGGCTCAGTCCAGCTCTGCCTCCCAAAAACATGGTATGCCTACTGGCAAGGCACCGCCCCTCTCTGTGCTGTCTCCTCATAGGTAACCACTCAATTCCCACAACCTATCCTAGCACTGACATTTTCTACCTGACTGGATTAGGGGAGAGAACATGAGTCTAGGGCCAGCATGTCCAGAAACATCTGTGAGTTAATCTGGGCCTGAGCTGTATAACTTGGCACAAGAGGCCTGTGCTCTGATAAGGGGTTCCTGATCGTGTGTTCTTTTGTTCATTGCTTGTTTGATATTTTTTTCTATTTTACATTGTTTTCTCTTCCGTAGCGATGACACTTTGGAAAAATTCTAACTTATTGGAGCTGAACTTTAAGCAACTCTGGGTTAGTCCTAAGCTGAGCCATGATTAGAAAATTAACCAGACTCATAAATAGACCTGGGTTCCATGGTCAGTTTGCCACCTCCTTGCTGGGCAATCTCTGAGGAATACCTGGGACAAATCTGGCAAGTTCCTTAATACTTGTGACTTGTGCTTTCTGCTCTACCAATTGGAATACAACCACTTTGTAAGCTTCCTCCAAGTGTTCACAGGTTAATGCGTGTACAGCCCTAGCCCAGCGTCTGGAGCACTGGGAATGTTCAGAGAGGGGAAGAGGTGAAGCCTGGGCGGCGCAGAGCTAGTTCTCACCCCCCTGCCCCGAATCTTTCCTCCATCTTGCAAAGTGCATCCTCACACACTCCCAGCCCACCAGACCTCCCTTTCGTGCATCTCATGCCTCTAAGGCAACAAGGCAAGCACGGCCTCTACCCCAAGCCTCAGCCATGAAATAGGGGAAATGTTTCTTCAGAAAATATGAAGGCAGTTTGTCATCTCCACGCTGCCTCATGGAGATTGAAGTGCTAACAAGAGCAGCTGCTACATACTGAACATGTACTATGTGCCGGCACTAAGCTTAGCATTTTGTTATTTCCTTTCCTCTGATCCCACCCTTTGAGGCTGATATTCCTGGACCCACTAATAAAGTGAAGAAACCCGTGAGGTTTGGGAGTTATTCTCATCCTGCACCTGATTCCTTACCTTATGAAAGGTGGAAGAAACAATTGTTTGAGTGCCTCATTTTGTCTCTAATTTCCCCCCAGCCCCTTTCTCACCACCTGCTAGAACTTCCTTGTCTCCCCTGACCCACCATGGAGAAGAGGCCAGGATGTCCCTTGAGTGCAGGGGTCTAAGATTCATGAGTTGGGGAAGTGCTTACGCTACCTTTGCTGTCCCCATGGCCAAGCTGGCTTCCCCCTCTGTCTTCACATCTAGCCAACCTGCTCCACCCTCCCAGGGAGAAGACAATAACAGCAAAGTCTCACCTTGAGGTGCCAAAGTTCCACCCGCCGATGGACAGCAGTGTTTTCAGCTCTCTGTTCCTACGATGTGGGAGAGAGGGTTGATGAGCTGGGTCCTCCACTCCAGTGGGCAGCTGCTGCCACATTCTTTTGTTTTGCTCCATGGAAGAAAAACAGGAAACAGGAGAGATGGGAGGTAAGGGAAGGAAAAGGAGGAAGGTGATGTTAGGAGAGAAATGAGCACAGGACAGAGAAAGAAAGAAAGAACAATCAACCCAAGGGCCATCACAGCCCAACAACTCCAAGGTTGCACAAAGTCTGCCAAACTCGCACATGTCCCCATGATGCTTCCAAAAAAAGAGTAGTCTAAAATGTTTCTCTTTTTCCTATTCAACAAATATTTATTGAGCGATGTCTATGTGCCATTTACTGCTTTAGGCACTTTAGAACAGAGAACAACACAGATAAGCTCCCCATTTTCAGGGAGCTTATAATCTAGTGGCATAGAACTTTTTCCCTGCCCATCCCTGCAACCATTAATGCAGTAACAAGCCTTCCCTTGGGTACGGAGAGATCCCAGGAGTTCTGGAGAGAGGAAAATGTAAGCAAACACTTACTGAGCACCAACCCCGTGTGAGACACTGACCTAGCCACTGGGGATACGACGACACAGCAGACACTGCCCCTTCCCTGGAGTAGCTCATAGCTAATAAATGGTAATAAAAACATGAGCATTTGTTGAGCATTAGGGATGTGTAGGCCCACTTTAACCGCAATAATAACTAAAATCCTCACAACTAGGTTCAAAAGTTGAGTTGGGTTTTGCCAGGCAGAGAAGAGAGAGAAGCACATTCCAGGCAGAGGCAACAGCAAATACAAAAGTAAGGAGGCAGGAAAGAGCTCAAGGTGTCTGGGACAAGGAGTTCTCAAGTTGGGGGTGCTCTGGACCCCTATTTGAGAGGAAGCTAGGACTGGAAGAAATAGAGGAAAGTTGAAGAGTAACAAGAGAAATAGACTGTTATCTTATACCTGTGAAATCTGAAAATACCACCCCCACATCCAATATGAACACACCTCTCCTTTAGTTTGTTGAACTCTGGGTAGAGAATTTTCTCATCCTGGAGATCCTTAGCAACAATCTGATTGTTGTTCATTGAGGCAAAGGCAAATATCAGGTGGGTGCAGAGAAAGGGGTCCAGGTCATGGGGCAAGATCGAGGCGGGGCCTGGCCGACTGTGTGCCCAGTTGGTGAAATAACACACCAGTTTATGGGCAGCACCTGGTAAGGGAGAGCACACATTAGTTGACAGAAACCAAGGGAGTGGATGGAGCTCAGCTTCCAGAAAGCAATGTGAACGCAGCAGCCCAAGAGACCGGGCCACATTTTCACATCCTTTCTCCCTGGCCCTGAAGTACACCTCAAAACTACACTGTGGTTCTATTCCTCCCCCACTGCTGAGGTCTCGGGAAGAAAAGAATGCCTCGTGAAATCCTGGTCAGAATGGATTCTCAGTCTGGACCAAGGCACACAGTCAGAGACACAAACAGCAGGTGACCAAAAACCCTCTGAGAAACTGTGTTGGATCCCTAATCCCTGTCAGAGGAGCCAGGGAAAGGTGGCTGCAGGGGACACTCAGTGTGGAGGACTTCTCAGCCAGAGACTCTCCCTGGCTCTGGAAGGGAAAACACAGTTTCCTTACCATCGTGGTGTTTCAGCACAAGAACCAGCCCTGCGGGAAGCAAAGGGAGGAGTCACACAGAGATTCACACCCTCCCCAGAGTGGCATACCACAGCACACCCTCTGGTTAGCAAGGCGCCCACCAACACAGCACCTTACGCAGATGCAGACGTACAAATGGGGACACACACACCATTCACTATTTCCTAGTCTCTAAAGTTGGACCAGTGGAGCTAGATAGAAGTTCCTTTTCTTCTGATAAACACATGTATATGCTCATGCTTTGCTCAGGGACAACAATGAGTCTTAGAAGTCCCAGAAAAAGCTTGAGGCTAGTGGTTCTCAACCCTGGCTGCAAATTAAGAAGCACTGATATCCTGGCTGATCATGCAGAGATTCTGATGGAACTGATCCAAGGTGGAACTCGAGCATTTAAAATTTCTAATGTGCCACCAGATTTGAGAACCACTGCTCTGACCATTTCTCCCTGGGGCCCTGTGACCTCTGACCATTCACTATAGCCCATCCCATCTCTATCTAATCCAGGCCCCCTGAGTCTCAGGCTGCTCTCTCAGGAACCAAAGAAATGACAAACTCATAAAGCCTGGCACCTCCTGGACTGAGTGACACTGCTGGGACCTGCCACACTCACCAACCCACAGCAACAGCTTCCGCATCTCAATTATCTGATAGCTGTGAGGCCAGAGATGGAGCCCTTTATAGGAGCTTCCCTGTGGATAGCACTGAGACAGCCCAGCTACACACACACACACACACACACCACACACACACCAGTGCCAGGATCAGTAATTTATGAGAGTCATAGTGACCCCAGAACCACCTGTCCTCCCTCTCCAACAAAGCAACAGCTCCGGGTTGGCACTGAATACCAGGAAGAGGGTCTTCCTTATATTCAGTACCACATGGACCAGATATGGGGGAGAAACCCCATATGGTAGCAGCAGTTCTGTTATTAGAAGATGATTGGCTGGGAAGCAGCGTAATTTAAAAAAAAAAAGTTTAAACCCTAGCTTTGGATTTAGGCTTTGAATCCAAGGTTTGAATTCAAAGTTTGAGTCTCAGTATCACCACTTAGAAGTTTTGTAATCTTGCACAAATTACCTGCCTCTGCGAGCTTCAGTTTCCATGCTTGTCAAATGGAGATGACAGCTCAGACTTACCTCATAGAGCTTTATAGAGATCAAAGAGATAATGGGTCAAAAATTGTTAGTTTTGTGTTGCATATAATAAGGGCTCAGTGAATGGTAGCTATTATTAGGGATGTCAAAAGGGTTGCCCAGGAGAGCAGAGTTCTCAAACTCAAATGACACTTGCCGGGCAGGTAATGTAAATGGATGGCATAGATGCAATAAAACAGCTCTCTCCATTTTATTAGAAAAGTAACAGTTCATGCCCAATGATGTACATCAACTAACATGAAGCCTCTTGGTCAGGAGACAACAGAGATCAGTATAAAGAGGGACAGCACTCTGAGCAGCTGCTAATGGTTGCCCTGCAAGGAAATAGAACCAGTGTTGCCGGATCCTTCAATTTCTCAGGAGAAGAAAAAACCTGAATTTTTATGAGTCAACAATATTTGAGTCAGTATATGAGCCAATTGTGAGGATGTGTCATGAACCTCAAGAATATGATGGATACAATTCTGGACATCTAAGAGCCAGTTTTTAAAAAATGCAACAACAGGAGTATGAAAGATTTAAAAAAAAAAAATTTATTACCAGACTGCAAGCCAATGATTCATCAATTTTCTTTCTCTGCCACAGAGGGTCTCAGACCCTCTGCCCATTGTCACAGAGACTGATGCCGCTCATCTCATCCACATGAACTACCACAAGGTTTTAACCAGATGTCAACATAATCCACAACACAGGGAAACAATGACTAGTGATCAAATTCATATAACATCTATCCTTCATTTCCAGTATGAAGAAATCAGGAAAGTCATTGTTTTAAATCAGCAGTTTGCTTGAATATGACGGAATAAAAGCAACAAATTGTATAGAATTTTTGGAGTATTTCGCTGAAACTCTGGGAAAGCCTGATAGAATACCCCACCCAACCAAGACTATGTCTCCTTTTCTTCATCCATCTTTGCCTTTCTTTACGTATTTAACAAATATTCACTGAGCATGTGCCACACCCTGCTCGGCGCTGAAACAGTTTCTGCTTTCAAGGAGCTTACGATTTAGTGAACAGATTGATCATATCCCTAGGGCTAGTGTATGTCTCTCTTTCTTGGAGAAGTAGCATGATGAGTGCAGTGAGGAAAACATGAGTTTTGTTGCCATAATGATTTGAGATACAATTCCCACTCTGTACCATCACTGAGGCAACCTGGGTCCCACTTGCATGCTTAATGCCACCCTCCATTCCTCGGACTAATATTAACCTGAATCAGGAGATAATTATGCCTCCTGAGACCAACACTGGATCATGCTTGGCAACAACTTGTACCATTGGTTAGACTACCCCTGGTACATTTTCTGACTACAATGACCATGCTGTTGTTCCCCCATTCCTAGACCTTGTGCCCTCATTCTTGTAACTGGGTCTGGTCCCTGCTTTGACTTCTCTTCCTGTTCTACAAACTGCTGGCGCCACAGTTGGCTCCTAGGACCTAGGTGTGCTGACATTGTCTTGCTAGTTTCCTCATACCCAACAGCCTCAGGGCCTCCTGTCTTTGAAGACCTTTTTGATGTGGAATGCCAACCTTTCTCTACTTCTGAGCCTCTTCCCACAGCATCCCCTACCCCTCAAGATTTCACATCACTGAGATTTCCCACTAGGCTGTGGCCTTCCACTGAAACTCCTAATAGGGGCACTAGCTGCTAATGCTGTACCTAACACAGAAGCCAAATTTGCCTGCCAATTTGAACTTCATTCATCTGCACCTGAGTCATCCTCTGGATTCCTATTCTGCTGCATTAAGCATGGCTAGATCTCAGACCTGACCCCTCTGTGCCTTGCAAAAATGACTGATGATGCTGAGAATGCCAAGATATAACAATGGATGCCCAGGAATGACCTCTGCATAATGCAGGGATGACCGTGCCAAAGAGCTGGCAACTATGCCTCTATATGTTCAGCAGATGATGAATAGTAAAATGCTGAACGGGGGTTATGTTGAAAATCAGTGTGCCGTGTCGCTCTGTGTGTTCTCAATCCTTTTCCTTCAGTTCTTGCTGTCAAAAAAAAAAAAAACCATTTCTTTTTATTTTTACACACCCACCCGGATACTTAGAAAATATCCCTCCCTAGTGCTTAGCCTGTGCTCATGAAGTTAGAAAAGACATTTGCAAATGTCTTTTTTACTGATTAAATCCCTGCAGCGTGACACCTCTCACATTTTTACAACAATTATCAATATGAAGGCAAGATCAAAGACGTGAAGTGCTTTGGTTTTAACAGAGCATTTGGCTAAATATTTCATGATACCCATGTGAATGAATTAGAGAAGTATGACTTAAACAAAATCAGTTGGTTGAATAACAAAAAGAAATCCAAAGAGTATTGACTACAGATCACTGTAAACTTGAAGAGAAGACTCTTCTCTAGTCAGTTACCACATCTTTAAAGTGAAGGGAGTGTTCCAATATTTGGTGTAAAAGATGATTTTTGGTTGTGCATTAGGGATTTTTTAAATATTTAATGTGTTTATTTTAATGTATAGTGGGAAAATGAATATTATCATACAAACCCATACTTTCATGGATCTTATTTAACTTTAAAAATTGAGGAAATTCAAAAAAGAATATTTGTAATAAGATAGTAAAGGTAGTGCTATTTGTTTAATGTCTTTAGAGGTCATATAGGCAATATCGCAATCCTAAACATAAAATCTTATGACCTAGCAATTTCACTTTTAGAAATGTATCATGCCCAAGCACACAAAGAAACAATGTTCATTGCAGCTTTATTTGTAACAGCAAAATACTAAAAACAAAACAAAAATCCTAACTGATTAAATGACGTCATTAGGAAATGGCTAAAGGTGTTATTGCACATCCATGCAATGGCCGTTTTCCTTCTAAGCCAGTGATTCTCAACTGGGCACAATTTTGCCCAATCTAGCAATGTCTGGAGATACTTTGGTTGCCACAACGGTGGAAGAAGGAAGGTAGGCTACAGTACCTAAGGGGTAGAAGCCAGGGATGCTGCTAACCCTCCTTTGATGCATAAGACAGCCCTCCACAATGAAGAATATTCAATTCAGAGGCTCCTTGACTTATAATGGGATTCCATCTCGATAAATCCATTGAAGTGGAAAATATTAATGTTTATGAGAACACATGGACACAGGGAGGGGAACATCACAAACCGGGGCCTGTCAGCAAGTCAGGGGCAAGGGAAGGGAGAGCATTAGGACAAATACCTAATGCATGCGGGGCTTAAAACCTAGATGACAGGTTGAAAGGTGCAGCAAACCACCATGGCACATGTATATCTATGCATCATACCTGCATGTT